CTAAAATTGTAAACTGAGTCAAATGCAATATTTCCATGCGATAGTCACATAAATATTTCGCCTTCACACATGCCAGCTTTCTCATCTGGCAAATGACGACCATTTGAGCCAATGCCAACCCTTTTCCAACTCTTACGATGCCAAGTTAATATCCTGCCAAATGCCGACAGATGGCGCCAAGTGTTTTTCCCCCTTGGATGAAAACGTTCTTATTTTTCCGACCGTCAGACCTGGAAAAGAAAAAAAATGCCCAAAGGTAAAATAAAAAAAAATACCGTAAAAATAAAATAAAATAAAAAATATAAATTCTTTCAAAAAATTTTTTTTTTATTCTAATGATGTCTTTCTGCTTTTAGCTCTCTTGCACATGCCATTGCTTCGTCTTGTTCAACTTTGTTTCTTGGTATAAGCTACAGTTTCCTTGGAAGATGAATAGAACAATTGACGCAACAAAGCTGTGGTTCTACAGAAGGATGCTGACAATACTATGCATGAATTTACAAGCAACCAGGAAGTTCTAAGGAAAATGGAAACAAAAAAGAACACTTATATATAGAATCAAGTAGTGGCAGTTCGTATGTCTAGGAAACATGATGAGGATAAAAGCCTTTGAAAATTTAATCCTCACAAGACGTGCTGAAGACAAGATTGATACATCGATATCAAAGAACAAACATTCGGAAGGGTAATAAAAGGCATAGAACGGATAGGATATTGTGGAGAGTCATGATCGCCAGAAATCTCATAAAAGAAGATAAATCATAAGGTCAAAAAGCGTTTGAAATATTATTCTGTGTTTTTAATCATCTTTTGGTGCTACCATAGTATTGTATCTACTATTAATTTTCTACTATAGAATGATATCTACCATCAAATTTCTACTATAGTATGATATATACTATTCATTTTCTACTATAGTATTATATCTACCACACATTTTCTACTATAGTTTTATATATACTATTCATTTTCTACTATAGTATGATATTTACCATACATTTTCTACTATAGTATATCTACCATCCATTTTCTACTATGGTATGGTATATACTATCCATTTTCTACTACAGTATGGTATCTATCATCCATTTTCTACTATATTATAATATATACTATTCATTTTCTACTATAGTATATCTACCATCCATTTTCTACTATAGTATGATATATACTTTTCATTTTTACTATAGTATGATATCTACCATCCATTTACTTCTATAGTATGATATATACTATTCATTTTCTACCATAGTATATCTACCATCCATTTTCTACTATAGTATGTTATATACTATTCTTTTTCTACTATAGTATGATATCTACCATCCATTTTCTGCTATAGTAAATATCTATAGTCCATTTTCTTCTATGGTTTGATATTTACCAACTGTTGTAAGTATTAAATATGTTAGCTGTTAGGTTTAGGGTTAAAGACGGTGAACAGTAAATTGGTAATGTATTAAAAATCATTAACAATATTTTATACAAAAAACTTTAAGAATAGCATCAGATAGTGATATTAATGTTTGTAAACTGACTTCTGTCATGAAAAAACAGTAATGTTGTAGCACACCTACAGACGATAATGGGTATGCCCCCATTCATTTAAATATAGTAGTAACTACTGTATGTTGGTCTGCAGTCGGAGATTACACCAGCTATACTGGTCAAAATCAAATAATTATTAAACTTTAATGAAATTTTCTGGAATTATTCATAAATAAATGATAGTTTTTTTTATTTTCTTTTTACAAATATCTCCCTTTTAGGACATCTTGCTAAAAATTTCGTTTTTGTCTTTTGTTTTTTTACGGTTTAATGCTTATATTAGCTATAAGCAGAACTCGTTGGATAATTTAACTCATAAATATTAAACAGCATTCCCAGTTTGTGAAAATCTGCCCTGAATCATAAAATAAAAAGTTCAATATAACCTAAGATATTATTTATGAGAAAAGATTTGAACCGGTTTTATGATTAAGATATATTTATGATTATGGTTTTATGATTAAGATATATTATGGACCTAATTGTCTTAAGAAAAAAAAAATTCAATGAATTTTTACAAATCTTGAATTTTTCCATTTTTTCAAAATTTTAATTACAATAATTTATAAAATGTTAAACATTTACAAATTCTGTATTAATTTGCATGGGTTAGGTGAAAATTATTTACTATATTTTCTTTTTTAAAATTATTTTTAAAGATTCACTTCATTTAAGTAAATGCTCTGTTTTTCTTTTAATTAAACAGTTTTAATTATATTTACCTGATGAATGTTCGAGAAATTTCGTAGAAAATATGCATTCTCCAGATTAATGTTAATACGACAATGAACATTCTATCTTTTTTCAGACGATAATAGTAACATTTATCTTTTAGCACTCAAAACATTTCGAGGTTAGAAGAAGCCAGTCACATCTTGAATTTTTCTAACTAAACTATCTGGACACTCATTACATGCACCTATAAAAAAAAAGCATGCCAGAAAGATTGTATACACTTTACGTATTATTTGATATTTGATCTACATTTGAGCTGAGATACGAAATTTTACTCAGTAGTACAGTTCTCTTTTCTCCATCGCCACATACCAACAAGATAATAAATAATACACGTTTTGTTGTTTCCACGTCTCGCTCATTTTTACGAGTATTTTTGCATATATAAATTTTAGGGGTTTAGTTATTTCTGGGATGATTTTTTACATATAAATTTTAGGGTTTAGTTGTTTCTATTTCTGGATGAGGTAATGTAACTATTTACACTATTTACATTGTTCGGACTGTTGTTCTCATCTTTATTGCCATATTCACCTTCAACATCTGTCTCTATTTCTGAGATGAGGTATTGTAACTATTTACACTATTTACATTGTTCGGACTGTTGTCCCCTTCATCTTTATTTCTGAGATGAGGTATTGTATATTCATTGTTCCTTCAACATCTGTCTCTATTTCTGAGATGAGGTATTGTAACTATTTACACTATTTACATTGTTCGGACTGTTGTCCTCATCTTTATTACCATATTCACCTTCAACATCTGTCTCTATTTTTGAGATGAGGTATTGTAACTATTTACACTATTTTCATTGTTCGGACTGTTGTCCTCATCTTTATTACCATATTCACGATGTTTCAGCCGTTGTACGCACTGGCTTTCTTCGGGTGATTGAAATTCTCAACTCGACCCTATTTTCTCGTCCACTGAGAGAGATTGTTTTACTTCCACGTGTCACGTTCGGTTCGAAAATCCTATCACAAAGGCGAGGAAAACAACTCCGAATAGTGTAAATAGTGTAAATGTTAAGGGTTTTATAATTATTTTCTCAGATTTATAAGTCCCCGAAACGACCGACCTATTTTTTTTTTCTTTATTTTTTTCTTGTTTGGTGTTTTTTTTTTATCTAATTTTCCCATATTTTGTATCATATTTCTAGCTTCTAAGGAAAATTTGAACAGTTTTACAATGTTCACTGACTTCCTTCTCCGTCCAAAAGCTATTATCAAAGATTTTTTTTCATTTTTGCGTTGATATTTTGATGTCTAATGAATATTTATTCAATTTTTTAGAAAGATATTTACACTTGTTGATTTAAAACATACATGCGCACATGCAAAGTTACACACACAATAATACAATTTGAAGGAAATTGAAATCGACATCTATGTCGCAAGTGTGAATTTCTCTTGTTGTCTGGTAACAACATCGAGATAACAAGAAAAGAAATAAGCCGTCCCTTTGAAGTCATTTTCATGACTTCTGTATTTTAAGTGTATATACATTTTTAATACAATATTTTAAATAGGTAAACAATTTAGATGTGATATTTGGTTATATATCTGATAAATGCGAATGTCAGTGTGTCATCAACGGTGATGTCTGGCTTGGTGGTCTCAAGGCTGTCGTCTACCCTATATTTTCATGTAATTATTCTTCCAACGATCCTCATTATTCTCCATATGTCGTTTTGTTTAGTAAGACGTCTACTTTCTAATCTAAGATTCTCATTCAATGTCTGCACGCGCACAAACACATTTTTTTATTTTGTTTGTTTTAGATGTAAATGTGCCAAGCTGACTCACCTAACCTAATGATGAAATCCCACAAAATCATGACTTGGTTGTTTTCGTTCATTTTCTCTAGTTTGTAGGCCGAGCGTTTCTTTTCGTCTTCAACTTCATACTTCCTACACAGTCTTCAACGTAAATGGAGGTTGCTTTATAATGACATCACTTGCATACTTTTTGCACAAGCATTTCACAAGCCATAATTTCTTGTTTTTTATGCATGTAGAAAAAATATGTGTTAGTAAACATTTGAACAATAGCCAATTACTAAATCAAATTTTGAAACCACCATTTTTTGTAGGCATATTAAGGACTAGCAGTAGAGCCCGGCATTGCCCTGGGATGTAACAGTAAGAGATAGATCAAGTATCGACCATCATAAAGACTGAAAAATAAAATTGACAAAGATTATTGTTTAAGGTTGACGGACACGCATGTCTTAATTAGTTTTTTTTTTTAGTTTTTTTTTTTTTAATGAATTGGTCAAACCCAAACTCAAACAAAAACATTGTTTTCAATCGTTATGGATCTACCGATTGAATAGAATTTTATTATAAACAATTGTCTTGTAAATGGAATTTTTAAAGCATTCTGTATGTAAAAATAAAGAAAAAAGTGTGCAAGACAATAAGAAACACTACCTGCCAAAAAAAAAAAGTGTAGTTTTGTTGAAATCTGTTGAAAAATGTAAGAAATCCGATCCCATATATAAACGAACACACACAAACAACCTGGGTTTTAAATAAGTATAACTCGATATGAGTTGTCCCCCTTTCACTCTCGTGATGCCTCTTAATCGTGTTTTCAAATTGATTTCGTGCAAAAACAATTGTGTTTTTCCAATATTTGGCGATGTTAGAACCACCGCAAGGTAATTTTACGTAGTCCTGGGAAGTTTTGTTGAAATCGGTTGAAAAATGTAGGAAC